CATGTCTATATTGTCAAGAATCTTCTATATTTTGTATCTTTGTGTAGGAGACACAAGCTTTCACTTGATGCTTTTGTTTCTGTCTTTGTCTTTTTGACAAAGACAGCCTGGTGGTCAGTCTGCTACTGCACATTAATCTTGGCCAATCCTGTTTCATTTAGTATTCAGGAGATAGCAATCTGTAGTCTGATAATGATTTCCAGTCACTGTATTCTAAACGAGTGTTTGTGTACTTCAGTCAAAATGATGATCCATCTCTCTAATTAGGATCATATATCTAAATTCCTTAAATGCTTGTCTTTATTCTTTCTGATTATTTTTAGATATAATAAAAATATAAAAGATCCATTTGTACCTTATTTATAACATTAACCTCATTTTATGCAATGTTTCTTTGTAACTTTGGTAACCTGAAGAAAATAGTAAGGTTATATAAAATATACTTGTTACGATAGGAAATGATAAGAGGCTAAATCTTCCATGACAGGCTGAGAGCATATACAATGAAGACATGATGACAAACTGATCTTGAGTGGCCTTTATTTGTGATGTTTATAGATTTATGCGCCTAAGAACTGCACAAGGGGTGGAAGGGAGCTGCTGACTGATGTAATTCTTTCTCAGACAAAAGWGAAATGGAGTATTCAGAAAGCCTGTCCTTTTTTCAGTTTAAATCTTGGCAACTTGTTTTGTGTTTGCTTGTGGAGCAAACAAGCTTGGAGTCTGGTTTTTAAATTTTTTTTTTCCCCATATAGAACTATGGCTCCCCTTTYCCCCATTGTTTCATCTCTGACCAGTTCTAACCTTAAGTTTGGGGTCTGTGGCTTGTAGATGTTTTCTGAGTTGCCTAGCTAAAGTTACTATCCCTTACTGATCTACAAATGTGGCATGTTCTGTTACTTTGATTTAGATAGATGAACATATTTTTAAGACCAAAGGGCCATCATTGTCTATATGGACTAGAAGAGGATGTACCAATCAGTGAGTTCTGCATGAATTTTCAAGGGTGTTGTCCTGGATGTCTTGGGATGTTTCTTTGGATCACAGAGGGGTAACTGGAAATACGCCTGCATTTTTTGGAGTCCTGCATGGTTCTGGTGATGTTATGTTGTGCTTAACATCTATTTCACTGAATTGTAGTCATGCTCATTCTTTTGTTGTTTTGTTTACTTATAACCTGGAAAATGTTTTGATTTGGAATAGATGTCTAAATGTATTCTTAACTCATGTTTTGTTTATGCCTCCATTTTGAATTTTAAGAGGTAGAATTCAGCTTTGTAAACTGTCAGCGTCRTTCTAGAGATGGAAGTCTCAGTCTTGGCCTCTTAATTCAATCTGATTTATATGATTTTTTGTTTGTTTTGCAGTATTTCTTTATTTAAAATCAAGAAGTCTGGGTAGCAGCCTTGCTTCAGTTGCATTTAAGTGCATTAAGTTTATCACTTGGACCTCCTAAGAAAGTAGATAGTGAAGGTTTGAAAGGGTTTTTTTGTTTGGGCACAGATGCATAGTGGGCTTTTTTCTTTTTTTTTTTTTGGGTTCATTGTGTTGTGCCACTTTCCATATGCTAATGCTGATGTTCAAAAACACTATAGTGGTCCTACCTTGTGAATTAGCACTTTAAAAAAAACACTTTTAATCTTGTTTTTTTAGGATGTATTTCTCTTCTTTGGACCTTTATAATGTATTGGTCATCTTCCTGCAAGCATAGTTTTCTATTTCTGTCAGGACAAAGGCTTCAGATTTTCTTCTTGGCTATATAAAACAAAAAAGAACCTGGGCTGTGGTGGGGAGATTACAGTCTTGTGCRGTGCAAAGGCTTGGATCTAGAGAGCTAATAGCTGATCAGGAGGACAGACCTCAACTGTTGTCTAATCTCCTTAGACTTTTTGATTTGTTTGTTTCAAATATTGATATTTTTAAAACATGTATGTGTTTTTTTGGCTTATGTTTGACAACACTTTCTGATAAAAGTTGGTGTTTAAGGATAAAAATTCCAAAGTCTATCTGTGGGGTTTTTTTTAATTTTAATTTTAGTCATTTTAAAAGAGACCTCTCAAACAAACAAAACCCCAAAAGGATGTTAAAACTTGCAGGACTTATCTAGCAAAAATTAGGGTGGTAATAATATAAAATATCTTTCCTCCTGTTTAATCAGAGTGGTGATATATGGTATATCATACATGGCATGAAAAATTTCCTAAAGACAAGTAATATTTATGTGAACTTGATTCTGGAAGTTATGTTTAAGCTGAAAATAATAGAGGGAACTTAAGAGGCTGAAAAAACATTTTATTGATACGGCTTATAAAAATCCTTTTAGAAACTGAAACTGTTTGCGGTAATGGTTGTATTTTCAGAAGCAGTTGTATTTCTAGTTTTATCTCGATAACCAGAAAGGGAGGAACATTCTGCAGCTCAAAATGCTAATCCTTACATACCTGTATACTCCTTGAAAGTATTTGCGTGGACTTCTGCATTTCCATGTTCTGCACCTGGCTGAGATATTTTTAAAGTTGAATATGCACAAAGAGAGGCTTACTAACAGATAGTGAGCTGTGCTTTGCAGTGGAGTAATTGCCCAAAGAATTTTTCAAACTAGAGACTTAGAAGTCCATCATATCATATATCATATCATATCATGTATTCATTTAATGAATGCTGTAATAAGAGAGGACTTCTCAGAATGAAGAATGCAAGTTGAATGTCTTTGTGTCACTCTTATTTAGGATGGGATGAAACTGKTGATAGAGGAACTGCAAAGGAGAGTGCGTAATGTGTTCTAGGTGAATTTCTGCTTTAACATGTAATCCAAAAGTATTTTTATTGCTGTCTTCTTAAAGAAAAGGTTCTCAAGTGCTGTTCTCATCATTATGTATGGTTGTGTCAGTGTGGCTGGCAGAGGTTTATCTGTAAGGAAATGCTGCTGAACTCCACCTGGTTATTTCTCTGTCSAACTTAGGCCAAAATTAATTATGAAAAGAAGGAGAGTTGCAAGTTGCTGAAAGATCTACGAGGTGAAGATACGTGGATCCCTGCTGATGTGAATGAACACATGGAACAACTGGAAAAGGTGATGTAATTGTAAATTGTCAAATTGGATTGTTACCTTTACAGCATGTTTGTATGAACAGAAGACATTGAGGGCTTTAAGACAGTCCTTAAAAGCATCTCAATTTCTGAGTTCTTTATGCTTTGATATTAGTTGTTTTTTTAAGGTAGAAATAATTTTTTACTTGCCAAGAGGAAGAGATTCTGTCATTCAATTCCAGATTTAATTTCTACTAAAGGCAGAAGAGCAAGGGCTRTCAGACAATAATTGTCCCATGGTAAGAAATCTGGAGGATTCAAGGCTTTATAGTCTCATTTGTGCTCATTCACAAGAGAAACCTTAGTGGAGCCTCTGAAAAACATCCTTTTAGTGTGCAGATATTTCAGCAAGGGAAAGGTGTGTACTGATAATGTAGTGATACCTGAAGAAATAGGTTTGACCAAAATAAATGCAATGTAGTGGTTGTTATCTGTACATGTATAATATCTTAGTTCCAGTGAAAAAGGTAYTGAGAGGGGGAAGAAAAATTGATTATGGATGCAAGGTATGCCATCCCTGCTCCTAACACCCCACCACAGCATAGAGAGACAGAGGGTAGTAAAAGGTAGTTATGTATGTTTTACCTTTCCTCAGTGAGATTTGGTAAGTAGATTTGATTTTTTTTTTTGTTTTTTTTTTGTTTTTTTGTATATGGGTGATTTGGTTTACTGGATCTCATTTACAAATATTAACTTGTAGGAACATTCTGTGCAGAAAAAAAAGAAAAAGGATAAACATTCCAAAAAAGCTAAGAAAGAAAAGAAGAAAAGTAAGAAACAAAAATCTGAAAAGAAGGATGACTTACTTGATAGTTCTTCGGTAAGTAAGAAAACTAATAATAATTCAAATGACATTCTTAAAACTTGAACCATTTTCRTCCCTGTGGGTACACATGGGTAGTAAAATTAAAGCTCATTCTTATAATTTTCTGTTTGGAAAAATTGTGTCAGAATTTGACAGTTCTAATATCATGAGTATTTAATCAATTTAAAATTGGCTGTTATGTTAGTGCTTGTGAATTTTATAATACTGAATTTGCTCATTAGGAACTAAGTGATTTATAGTTTTTCAGCAGAAAGAAAATAAATAAAAAGTCCTCATTCTGGTATAGAGAGGAAAATTTCATAGGTATCCTGTAGTGTCTGTGGTATACGAGAGACAGATGAGTCTAAAATTGTAAATAATTGACTTTGATTTTAAACATGTATTACTTCTGGCTTTTTCCACAGATTTTCAACCATGGACACTCCCAAGAACATGGGAGTTGTACATGGGTCTGAAGGTCTTGTACATTTAAATCTGTAAGGACATGCCTTCACATGGAGGGGCACTCTGGCAGAACAGTGCAGAGACTGCATTTGATATCTGGGTGCTGCCTTGTGGCCACATTGTGGAAAAGATCCTCCCAGCCTTTTTGATGCAGTCAGGTGGCACTGTTTTCAGAGAGTCACTTTTATGGAGTGAAGTAACATGCRTTATGATGAGATCTTTTTTTCAGGGATTTGTATCAGAGATGAGCTATAATACCAGTGTGGAAAGTAACCAAAGGTACAAATGTCCCACATTCTCCATGGTTATCACCAAAACCCTTCAAATCACAGCAGGGACTCTTAGCATACAACACAGTCCTGGCTGTAACTTCTGTCCAAAATCTGATACTCCTAAGACAGGTTCATGTAAATAGCAAAGTAACTCTGTTCAATGCAGTCCTATCGGCTTCAAGYGAAAAATCTCTGTACACTGTTTGCAAGTACAAATGTAGGAAGCTGGATATAAAAATAGCAGGCAGTAACATGTACCATGCTTTATATTGTGCAGTGTAACTGATCTAACTTTTAAAATGTGAAACATACTTAGTAATGAATTTAGGTTTTTTTAAATTTTGTTTTTGTTATGCCATAAACCCAATTGGTTTTGATTGTGTTTTCATTCTGTTTTAATTTTAGCAGAGTTGTACAAATAACCTGGCAGTATGAGCTAGTGTTGCATACTCTGWTGTGCTCATGAAGTATGGTGGTATGTTTTGATTCTGAAGAAACAACCTTCAGTGGGAATATCAGTATTCTGGTTTTATAGTCAGTATTTTTAAATATAAAAGAGTATTATATTAGTAATGCTAATCAGCATTAATTTTGATTGTCAAAATAATTGGTAAATAGTGCATGTTATCAAGTAGTATGCTAAGGTATTATTTTTATTCTTTATGTTAAACTCTCTTTTTAGGATTCTTCAGTTGAATGGGTTGAGTCAAATGTGTCACAGACAGACGACGCTGGAAAGGCTTGGAAGGTCAACAAGCAACCAGATGATGGGAAAGAACCTTCCCAGCAGGTGGGCAGGCTCACAGCTACTTCAGAGATAAATTCAGCTTGTGAAACRTGTTTAGGTTTCTTAGGAGCTCTTTTGCAGCATGTTGAGCAAAACCTATTTCACAAATGTCTTTGTTTAGCTGGGTAAATGCTACTTGTCAYTGATTGGAAGACTTCTCTACCTAACAGTTCTTAGTGTTTTACAAGGCAGTACTCTTAATGTTGCCCATCACCAACTCCTTTTATCRGGTTTTGAGGCTCTAACAAGTTAGCTTGATTTTCTTGAAGAGATCAGCTTAAAGGTCTTGACTAGACAYGCATTTTTTTTCTTCATAATTTTGGTGGCTGTTCTACAGTTGAATGAATTTTTACCCCTGGGATGCTTAAACTGATATAAGGGAGGTGTAGAACATTTCAGCAATAATACTTATGGCATTAATGCCTCTTTTGATCTTCATAGGTATCTTCTCTGCCCAGTGAGCAATATTTAATCTGGAAAATGGRGTAATACTGAAATGAACTGTAGTGATTTTAGAAACAAATGTAGTTATATACCATGATATCCTTTGTCATGTGAAGATGATTTTTAATTTAGTGTCTAAATTTTTTTTCTCACAAAAAAAGTCCATTTTTCATTCTGGATTTGTGCATCTTGTTACGAGAAATAAAAAGGGTCTCTAAATTCTCTCTTGGTAAAGTGTAAAGTATGAAGTAATGTCTTGATCATTTATATTGCAAAAACATTGTTTTTCCAAGCATTTTTTTTTAATAATGTGTTTCCTAGGCTTGTCTGGGTTTGGATAAAGAATGTGCTTTTGACAGGAATTTCATGATCATCCCTATATTTTGGTTTTTTCTGACATAAGGAAGAAGTCTTGGAGCACATAGATCCATATCCTGTTGGATTAAATTAAATTATATGTTTTCTCAAAGCACACCTGAGGTGCTCCATGTGACCAATGCTGGACTACTCCGGAGTGCTTACTTAGAAACAAAAAAAGGAAAGACAGAATCACATATAAAAATTTCCAAGCCATCGATCTGAAGCCTAAACAGAAGACAGTCAGGGTTTTTACAGTGGTGTTCAGAGACAGGACCAGAGGCAATGAGCAGAAATTACAGGATGTTCCTTCTGAACATCAGGAAACATTGTTTTACTGCGAGGATGATCAAGCACTGGCACAGGTTACCTGGAGAGGCTGTGGAATCTTCTTCTCTGCATATATTTACAAGCCATCTGGATATGATCCTGGGCAGGTGGTCCTAGGTGATCTGGCTTGAGCAGGGGCTTGGGCCAGATGACCTCTAGGGGTCCCATGCACTTCCACATTTGTTGATGCACGTTGCCTGCTAATGTGGGCATAGATATTATTGAATCACTTGAAGATAGATTATTTTTCAGTTCCTTCTCTTTCTCGGAGGAGATTTAAAAAATGAAATGTGTTTCACCTCTCAAATTCTCTGGCATGTTGCAGAACATAATTTTTACATAACGAAGTGACCTATAGCATCTGTTCAGATTGACAGCTCAGACTTGAACTCTGTTGAAGATAGGAAAATTCTTCTGCAAGGACATGTTTCAGAATATATGTGATCATGTCATTTTGGTTGCTATACTAGAATTAAAAGAATTGCTCCAAATACTTGCCTTTATAGAGTAATTGCTCATAATGTGTATTTCACTGCTTGCTTTTGAGGCTTCAGGTTTTACTATATAAAGGTGGTAGATATATCTAGGCTTTTAATATGCTGCTTTTCTTTAGGCTAATCCTCATTTTTAAAATCTCCTTGGTCTGGCTTAGGTTTTATGAATACAGTTTTCTGGCTGTTTTTGTGGGTACAGTTCACAGAATTTAGATGTTGAGTTTAAGGGTGCAGTTAGTGTTAAGATATCTGAGTTATGAACTGTACTCAGATACTGATCACAGATTTTGTATACACTAGAAGAGATACAAGAGATCATGAGATTAGAATTAGCAAARTGAAGCGTATGGTATTTATTTATGTGAATAATTAGCAGCCTGTACAATCTGCATGTTTACTAATGTCTTAAATACCATTGTAAATATGTATTTCAGATTACAGGGAGACATGAAATTTGTTTGAGTATTAAAAAATTGAAAGATTAGGGTTCTTAAATTTGTGTTTGCTTTTCACTGAAGTATTTCATATGAGTTTGAAYAACCTATTCTGTTTATTTTCAATGRCGTTTGTCAGTAGTTGCAGTGGTTTGGTTTGTACATAAGCCATGTTTTTGTTGGAATTATGAACACTGATTCTTTGTGTTTATTTTAAAGAGAGAAGAATGGATGAATTTAGACTTCATGTCATTGAAAACAACATCAGTAGCAGCTGTCAAAGGTGAAAAACAAAAAGATAAAGTATTGGAACGACAGAAGGCTCAAGAACTTGTGCAGGTAGGAGGAATTATTATCTTAATTTTTTTCTGCGTTTTACTAAATTGTGATGATGAATGAACTAATGAATTGGTTCAAATTTATTGTTATTAAAATTAATGCCTGATGTGATAATGATTTTAATTAAACTGATGTGTTTGGATGGAAGGCTTCATGCATCAGGCTTATATTGTGGAGAAAAGCCTTTATCTTGTAGGTGAGGAGAAGGCCACTCTTGCTAATACTAAGTTCTGTTAGTAGCAGTGACAGACTATTGGTCTGGCCTTCTCCTCCATGGTGTGTGAAAGGACCACCATTGTTTGTGTGATAAAAGGTTAGGAAGTTACTATGTTAAATTGTAGGGTGCTGAGGATTGCTTTTCCTAAAGAAAGAACTCAGAGCAGTCCTTGTGCCTTTCATGTCTCAGTTGTTGGTGAACACATGGGTGGTTCAGGGTCTGACTGGAGAAGAGGTTGCTGTCATTGAATTAACTCTGTTTATGTACAGTTGCTGGCTCCTTCATTTGTTCATTTACCTCCTTAAATCACCACAATACCCACATGTGTTATATTATTAATGACAATTTATATTTATATGTATTCTTAATCCTAGAAAAATGTGATTTTTATATACTCTCCCACCCAACTAATTGCTGTCCATGCCGGTCTATACTCTTGTGTTTTCTACACTGGAGTTTCTTATTTTCTTTTGTGTCTTGGTTTGAGACAATGTTTTCAGAGAAAAATGTTACAGAGTAAATGTTTCCTCTGAAGTGAATTTTTTTTTTTTTTCCCACCAATATGAAATAGATGTTCAGGCAAAAGTGAAGAGAAAAAATAAAGTAGTTTATTAACAAAACACAGGACCCACAGGACACAGATAAAAAGTAGCTGTTAGATATTTAAAAGTCCAGGAATGCCCGATGCCCCCTCCCACTTGGCCACCTGGTGCAGAGAAAATGGCGCATCTCTGGTCCCTGGGGAAAAAGAAACAAAAGAAAAAAAAGTCCACATGGCGCTCGGGCAGCAGTGGCAAAACCTGGATAGYCCTCACTGTGGATGAAACAGAGGGCTTGGTGTGTTTTTCTGTCGCCGGCTTGGCTTCTTCTGGAGTCYGGGASGAGACCAAAYGGCGTGGCTTCTCCCCGCCGGCTGCCGAATTGCTCCAGAAGAAAAATCGCATGAGTCCGAGGAAAAAAAGTAGCAGTCCAAGGAGAGCTGTTTGCCCAAGCTAACAAACCCGAGCTAGCTAAATGTTAACAACATAACTCCGCTGCAGGAAACGAGCAAGGACTCCTGCAGCGCCAATGCTGAGGTCCAAAAAGCCCACAAACTGAGCTCCAAAATCGAAYGGCTGCGTGGCAGCCCCAGCTTTTAAACTGTCTGTGCTGCCCCGCCCCTTCTTCCGGGTCGCATTTAAAGGCATAGGCACCTTTTGGGCATACAAACCAACGGAATAGGAATACAGAATTGGCACAAAATCAACCCAAGACACTTTAATGTCCAAAGCAATGTGTACAACAGATGCATACAGCATGAAATTGGTGGTGATGAATTGGCAATATTACATAGATTTCTCACACAAGTGTCTCAAAATTTGTCAGATATTCTATAAAAAATGAACCATATGCTATGTATACTTTAAAATTATTTCTATTTCAGGCCATGTTGTCTGAGAGAGAACTCAATCCCTATTGGAAAGATGGTGGTACGGGTTTGCCACCAGAGAAGGATGAAGAAGCTTCAGTTAAGAAAGGTAAAGAGCAATCTTTTGTAGTAATCTTAAATATCTCTCCCCAGTTTCTGATCTGTGTATTGTTTACAAATGACTTCTAATGTTGTAGTAACAGGATTATAAATCATATGTATATTCTTAATAATACATGTAAGAAAGTAGAATTTGGATGAACATCCAAAGTGAATATTGGTTAATGTCATAGTACATTGTTTTGCCGAATTTCTCTTCTAGTTTTTAATCTTGAGTGGTTTGACCTTCAATATCCCTACAGAAATTCTCCATTTTGAACTAATTGAAGGAAAGCATGATTTAACCAAGACAAGATAAATTGTTGTCAACTCATTTGGTTCATTTCATTCCATTGCACAAATTATAGTTTTAAAGTATTCACCCACAGAAGTCTGAGTCACATCAAAATGAAATACATTACAGATGTATTTTGTGAAAAGTATTATTTCTGTASCCTTTTCACTTTTTTCCTTACCCTGGGGTTATCCTGCACATTTCCAGCAAATAGAGTAATAAAATCAGTTTTCGTAATGTCATGAAACATTTCTTATGTGATAAGAAGAGTGCTTGTATTCTGTCAACAGGGAAGAGTGGGGTCTGTGGCTTTTTGAGAGCSTTTCCCTGTGGACAGTCTGTCCCAGAAACCATTAGCCTCATACCCACTCTTAGGAGTCACAGATCAGCTGTYTGTAAGAGGTGACAGCATCAACTGAGTGTGCGTTCAGAATGTTAAGACCACTGCTGACTTCTCATTCATTTTCTGAGAAAGGGAATTCACTTGTTTGTGTGTAAGGGGTATGCCAAAGAATGGACACAGAATGTAGAAACAACAGGATGGTGCTTTAATGTCATAATGAAACTCCACAGCTTCTGATATGCTGCTCCTGTCTTGGAAACAGATTTTGTTCTATTGTAAACTGGAGAAGCTTAAATTAAATCAGTGGTATTGTGAGATATAACCAACATTCATTTATGAAGATATGTAATTGAATTTTTATATTAATTCTGTTTTTCTTTTGTAGTCCTTCAATTTTTATAATAAGTTTAGCTGAAGCTTTAATGTCTCATGCAGAGTAAGGTTAAATACGAGTGATTACTTAAGATGTAAAACTATGGCCTCTCATTGTTTTCTACTTTAGTTACAGTGGTAGAAGATGCTGGATTAAGTTGGCTGCGAAAATCATACCAAAGGATGAAGGAGCAGGCTGAGAGAGAGAAACGAAATTTTGAGGAAATTGTAGCTGAGAGATACGGGGTAAGGATCTTCAGTTAAAATTKCTTCATACTAATAGATGCTTGGAAAAGATTACTTTCATATAAAGGCACAAGTACTGAATATGTAGTGCAAGACATATGAGAAGAAGCTTCTCTCAAGTGATGAAGGGTTTAAAGTTACCCAGCCTTTTATGTATTTCTTTTGTAAAATGTTTTTAACATATGGGATTCTGTAGCAGATTTAAAATATGTACACAATACCCCGTAGTCTTAAAAGTGGTATGAATTTTTTATTCTTTCTTTTAGTCAGTGGAAGTRTTTCAATCACGATTAGAAGAAGCTGAAAAAGCTGCATCCAAAAAGGAAAATTATCATGGAAGTGGAAGATGGAAGAAGACTGACTATTCAGAAAGTGAGAAAGAGAAGAAAGAACGGCATATTGAAAAGGCAACACGAGATGAAGATGATAGAACCAGAAACATGTTTTGGGGCTGTTCCAGGGACAAATAYGGCAAGGGGTGGGTGCAGGAAGACAAGGGTTACAGAAGAGATGTGTCAAGAGCAGATCAGGAATGTGGACACAGTAGCATGGACTCAGTATCAAGGGGCTACAACTCCAAAGCAGAAAAATATTCCAGTGAAAAACGAAATCAGGAAAAGAGTTCATCCCTAAGCAACATGAAACACAAATTTTTGAAACCCTCTGAAGATGATTCATCATCTTACAGTGCACCCAGAGACTCCAAGTCCCAGCAGTCCTCTTCCAAACTRCCAGCTCACAGCTCTTTGAGCAGCCGTTTCCAAAAACCCGATGAGGATACTGCACTGTGGACCAAAACTCACGCAAAAGATAGCAATGAGAAATCAGTATCTGATCAAAAATCATCARGTACTAGGGAAGAAATTGATGGGAAAAATTGGAAAAGAACTCCAGGTGATGAAAAAGAGAAATCGCGACAGGAGCACACAAATGATACACTTGAGAAGAAGCAAATTTTATCTGACAATGAAACATCATCCTCTAGGTATTTTATGAACATCTTTACTTGGCTTTTATTTGCCTTTTTTTCATGGCAAAATATAAGAGAAGCTGTATCTCCTTTTTTACAACATAAACACTGATCATATCACATCTAGTTTGGAGGAGGAGTCTTAGCCTCCAGCTAAGGGCAGTTCGAAGAAGTAAGTTAAGCAGATTCAGTGAACATCCCCTACTTGATTTGTCTTCTCAGCACATTTGAGAATTGCTAATGATAGGTTATTTTCTACTTCTTTCTAATCTTAGTTCACACTGCAGTAAAATTGGTCTCTTAAGCAAAAACACCTGYAAAATATCTTAACAGTCATTGAATTTATAAAATAAGAGACTTGAAATGTTAGAAAATGCTGACTRAAAACGGAAATAATTAATACAGCAGGGATAGGTTTGCCACTAGTGAGATGAGCTCATATGCTAAAGCAGTAGCATATGAAAAATAGTGGAAGGTATTGATTGCAAAGTGCATTTTCTGTGATGAAGAGGAAGGATTAATAGGACTGGGAAGGGAAACACAAATTTAATAGGCAGCAGGAATTTAATTTTCCCTGACTTRCTTTTGTGAAAGACAGCAGAGAGTAGTAAGGAGAGGTGGTCAGATAACTAAGTTGTAGAGAACTGACTTTCTGCTCTGCTCAAGGCCTCCTGTTCTCCAGTATTAGCAGATTGCTGGTTCTTCCAGTGATTTGATTAGGTRGCTTTTACTGTGAATCCTTTGTTTCAGATCTTTCCAATAATTTGTAGGGATGTGCGTAAGTATTTCATAGTTAGGGCTATCTTATTCAATTTCTTGGGAAAGCTGAACAAGTAAATATTCTTGGTTGGAGTATGTAAGAAGCATTATGTGATTTGGTTGAAAAAAGCATTTGATGAAATATGATCAAATGTAATACCTTCTTTCTTAYATGTTTATGTCAGTTATTTGCAGAAAAAAACTCCTAACAAGGTTATGAAGTATTTATTTTATTTATAATTTTTCCTACATATAGTGCTTATATACCTCACTATGTATTTCCAAAGAAAAAAAATGTACATTAATGAGTACTGCATGACTAACCAAAACCAGGCATATTAGTCTATGCAGTTCTTTATATTTTGCATGTTGGGTRTTATTCCCAGATTTTACTTGCTATACTTTGACAGAAGCCAATGAAATTTGAATTTTCATTGATAGCAAGAATATAAATTACTTGCATGATGTTCACCTTACCTATTGTTCTTTTAAAGCATGAGCTTGAGTATTAGTCATGGCAATAGTATTTCCAAATTCTAACATAACTAATTTGTACACACTATGGAAAGTTCCATTCATAAGTGTATGTCATGTCTTGTTTTATTGTTTATTTTATTGTGTCTAGGTGCTATTTTGCTGGAAAATGAGAAGTCTATTTTTATAGTTATTTTAGTTACTCTGAAAACAAAGATCTGRTAGCATTAAACCTCTGATGTATGACCCATTAGACACTCAAATTTAGTGATCCTTTTTCTTCTTCTGTATATTGCCCTAATAGTTACTGCACTGAAGTGCCTGGGGTTTACCAGTTAAATGCACTTTGTAAACTTCTGGTTAGAATGKCATGTCTGAAGTGAAGCCTGTGAAACTTCTTCAACTCTTGAGTCCTGGTTTGTTCATGAGTTTCTTTAGGTACAAGGTGTGCATAATCCAGGGTTGTTTTCCACCGGTCTTTGAGGGGTAGGGGATGGGTTGGAAAGTGTGGAGCTGGCTGTTGCTTTGAGTGTGTGTTGTGTTGATCCCAGCACATCCCAGCTGCTTGCTTATTCTCAGTCCTGCAGAGGGAGCCCAGAAGAGCAAAAGGGAGAAAAACTCATTATTGGATAAAGGCAGTTTAATGAGTGAAGGAAWGGCACAACAACATGTGATACAAGGGCAGTCAGTCACTCACCGCCTCCCACGAGCAGACTGATGCTCAATCAGTCTTTGAGCAGCAGCTGCTTTGGAAAGACTGCTCTCTCCAGGGCTTTTTTTTTTTTTTTTTGCTGGACATGACGTTATGTAGCATGGAATATCCCTTTGGCCTGTTTGGCTGTCCTGGCTGTGACTCCTCCCAAACAGTGCTCACTCCAGCCTGCTTGCTGGGGGTACACAATGAGAACCAGAGGAAGCCTTGAGGCTGTGTAAGCACTGTTCAGCAGCAGCCAAAATACTGGTGTGTTACTGGCTTACCAGCACTGTCTCCAGAGAAATCCAAAGCACAGCTCCATAGGGGCTGCTGGTCACTAATGAGTGGCTTGGGGTTGCTCAAAGAGTCACCGTCACGGTATTTGCAAAAGCGGTTTTAATATAAATCTATAAAAGTCATAAAAATGAGACTTAACGAAGTTTGGTGGTAAGGTTCATTCTATTATTGACTACATGAATGAAACATATAAAAGAAAACTGAGTTAAAATTGATTTAGAATGTTTTATATGTAGTCTGAAGACATAAAAGTGTAAGTGGGACATTTCCATTGTGTCACAAGGTTCTGAGCAGACTCTTGCTCTCTAAACTCCTGATAGAGCTTAGGTGTGGCTAGGTCCAATCTTTGTCTCAGATTTGATCAACAGTTTACATCTTGATTTGATCAATGATTACATCTATAATTAATTAGGATCACCTGAAGAACCCCTGTCCAAGATACCATGATCTTAATATGATATTGTTAAAGTATCAGTTTACCACATGTGAAATTTTTRCATGACTTCTGATATAGCAGCAGTCTGAACTTTATTTACAGTTTCAAGATGAATCACAGGATTTTAGCACTACTTATTGACCAATTTAACATTTACATAGTGTGTCAATAGGATTTACTATAATCACAATAGTGACAATTTCAGATCTGAGATTGCAACATTCATACTATAGTTGCTGTATGGTATCTTACAACAATTCACACATGCATGCATATGGACTAAAAGAGACATGTAGGGATAGATGTGTGTAAATGTRTAAAAATATGTGCATATATAAAATATGTGAGAATATAAAAATGCCTGTTAAAAGTTCCTCTTGAGTTCAGTGAAATTCTTCAAATGTGTTGGATTTATCAATAAGCAGGAGTTGAGCTTCAAGGAGTGGAGGTTTCAGCCCAGGCGCCCTTACCAGCTTTCTATGATGGTGCTCTGATCTTTTCAAATGGGAGAGTTGGTGAGTTCTGGGAGGTGTCCCACTCAGAGCAATGCTGGCACTGCCCATCGTGGTGTAGGAGAGCTCAGAGGGCATCACAGRGCACCRCTGTTTCTGGAGTTGCAGYATCCTTGGGCTTCAGTCATCAGTAAATTTCCATCTTGGCCACAGTCTGGCTCAGTTACTGGAATTTTGAAAATTCCAGTGGCAATGGTACTGTTCCATTCAGGCTGTGATTCAGGTGAGTAGTGTTCAGAGGCTGTCAAGGGGTGACTGATTAGTTCTGAGTTTGTTCCACATTGTTGCAGGCACCACGAGTTCTGGGTGTGGRCAGTGGGCTCCCACCTTAGCCAGGCCAAAATTCCTGCTACAGTCAAGGGATACTTCACCACCAAACTCTTGCACAAAGGCCAAACATAATGGGAATCCTGGGATTGCAGAGTGCCTAGGAAGGGGAGGTCTAGGCATGGTGTGGAGSAAAATGCACCACTGCATTGCTATGGAAATAATATATTCATCCCATCCAGCCAGACATAGTAGAAAATGTTATTATTGAGTAGAAGTTAGTGATACCGTTGCCTCAGTATTGTTTTCTTCAAAGAAGCAGCTACTTTTTTTGAGTCTGTTTTTTATTTTTTTATGAAATAATGGTGATTCACTTTTTTTAATTGCAGGTACAAAAATGGTACCTTCTTTTTAACTGCCACATTTACTAAGTACAATTCTAATTGTAACTGGACAAAGGTAGAAATTTTGGTAAATTAGATTGTGTGCGGAAATGGTTTTTGGCTTTGAACTTATTCAAGTTCAAAGAATTCAATTATTATGATAGAAAAGATAATTCTTTTCCTTACAGAAGAGAACTAGGCACAGAAACTGTTCAACTGATATTTTCTTTTGCATGTATTTTTGTTCTGGTACTGTTAAACCCAATTGCGCAACTTCTTTGATATTTTAATTGTATTTCTTAGCCAATGCAATTACTGAGCTGACTTGACATAACTTATTTCCAAGTTCTTCTAAGATGGCTCTTAACTTCTGAGATTCTGTGTTTGAAATAGTGAATAACCTACCTGTCTTCCTGTTTCCTTCACTGGGAAGTTTGGTTTTTGTGGGTTTTTTTGCTGGGTTTTTTTTTTTGTTTGGCTAGAATTTTTTAGAAAATTCTGGCTTTTGGAACATTTCGGGTTTGAATATGTGCTGTAGATTTCTGTTGAGGGTARTTTATAAGCTACTGCTTTCTTCTTAAATTTTCAAGACTTGTAATACATGTACTTTTTCAATAGTGTTGGCAATCACAAAAAAYAAATCTTGGAGTTGAAGGCTTGAATTAATAGGTTTTGCTGGTTCAGTTCCTTGTCTCTYATGCTGAAAGTATAGCTTTTAAATTTTATCTTTTCTAAAGCACAGAGGAAGTTTCTTCAGCCTATAAATCAAAGTGTTTTGGACAGTTATGACACAGGTTAATTAAAAGTGCTGATTGGATGTCCAAGGGATCTCCCCAGAGGAAAAGTCCATCAGCTAACGTTGGCTGGAAGTCACACTTAATAATGTGACTGCTTCAGAGTTTAATTTGAGACAAGATAAAAAGCAAATCTAAACAATGTCTGGAGTCTCAAAAAGTTCAATGTTTCAAGCACTAGCACCACTTAAAAAAAAATAGGTTAATTAATAAACACTTTTTTTCCCCTTTACTGAAACAATCTGCCTTGCTTTGAAAGATATAGCTTAAGGAAAAGTGAGAACTTAATCTTGAGTGTTTTGTTTCTGGTGAACTTAAAGTAAACTCTGCTGAGTTTTGGGGGTCTTGGATTGGGCATCTTCAAAACTTAACAAAAGCAATTGGTAATTTTTCTCAGGACTGGGGAGATCTGCTGGTTAAAGATGACACTATCATTAAAGGTTTCCCATGCTTCAAATCCTACAATGTTTACCCATACCAAATAGTGAGTGAATTCTTTCTCTAACAGTAGGAACCAATATCATAACTGTACTCTTACGTGTCTTTTGTTTTAGATATTTTACTTTTAGTTAATTGGTTTTAGACTTTCCTAGGGCTAGAGAACAARAGCCAAACTTATTTGATATCTCTTTGCAATATTTCTTGGAGTCCTTATTTAATAAACATCATAACAAGTCATATGCTGAGTTTTTAAAATTAAGGTACAATACTATTCATTACCAGCTGTTGCCTCATCTATGGGGACTTCATATTTTTAAAATGGTGCCTGTTAATTTTCCATGATAACTCTACTGTATCAGCCATAATATGTTCAGATACAAAGATTTTACTGTGAGCAGATAAATATGGGAAAAATAAGTACTTTTCAAGAGATGGAAGGCTATTTGATGAGTAGAATAACTCAGAAATGAGTGATTTTGCAGGAGCTGAGAAGTACAAGCATATCCAAAGGCAGAAAGAATAATTAGAGTGGGTTGAAATAAATTTCTGTTTCCCTTGTTTTTTTCCTGCTTGTACCTGCTACTGACTTTTGACTGTTTTTTTATGCTGGGAAGATGTTCATAGATACTGCTTTTCATTTTAACTGATCTCAAAAGTAAAAGGAAACAAACTTCATAAAAATTTTGTTCAAACTGTTTGGTTTCAGAGTCCTTGGCAACTTCTGATGCAAATATATTTTTATAATATGTTATTTTAAATTACTTTGCCAATAGGCGTATATGTACCACTGTAGTAGGCTTATCATACTTAATGACACAGGTGAATATTACATTGCTTTTCTGTGGCTTTAATGCAGCTGGTGTTTTACAGATCATCAAAGAATGAGCCRCCTCGGGTTCTTAGTGAAGAGGAGATGAACAGACTGGGAGCGAGGATTGTGAAAGCAGAACTCATGGGAGACACGGTAATGGCTGTGAAAAACTGGCATGATTTACTGCAATTTTTCTTTAAAGCTCCCAGCAATTTAACTGTCTGGGTTTCTTTACAAAGGGTATTGATTCAAGCAATTAAAGACCTGCAAAATTTGCTAGGATTTGAAGATACTGCTTTTACAGTAATTTTTGGTTTAAATGTAATGGTTCACAGACTAGAGCAGAGGATCCAGGTCACTGGTCTTTGTAGGATAAGCAGCATGTCCAAAATGAGTTGTTCTCTGCCCTTTTTATTAAAAAGGGAGCTGGTGAAAACAACAAAGCTGCCTGTCTGTGTTACAAGGTAAACAGTGTCTGGAGCTTTACTTATTTCATCAGCTTTGTCACAAGTAGATGCTTGCTGTAGCTCTGCTGTATAAGCAAGTTTATTAATTATGATATGGAAATTATAGAACAAAGAGAGCTGCAGATGCCATCGCAGCCAGCTCTGCRCTGAGAACAGGTGGAATGCTTTGTATTCAGCTCCACAAAATGCCTGCCCTGATTGAGACTGGGCCCCTGGAGCTGGGAGAAACAGCTGTGCATTTAACATGGCTTGTTTCAGCCAGCAACCTGAAGGAACAAGAATTTCACTCTTGTGGAACACTAAATTCTGGAAGTATATATGTTTTGTTTATTACATTAAACAWGGTTATAATGAGCTAATTCCCTTCRGTAGTACTGTCTGGAAGTTTCAGTTATAACAAGGTCAGAGTCTGTTTGTTTTTAAGGTGTGTTTTTCAGGTGCTTGGCTCTACATAGCTGCTCTTAAGGAACTGTATTTTGTATTTTTTAGAAGCAAATGTTACCCCTTTGTATTTATTTTTTAATATTAATTTTTGCTGCACCTGTTTACTTTGCYTCTTGTGACATGTATTTGCACCAAAGTCTGTATCTTTCAGAAATAATAAATAAATATTTATTTATGGTAATATATAAAATGTGTTGCATCTTCAAGTGTTAAATTAATATTKCTCAAGAGCTGCTGTTCTTTGATTTATGGAAAGTTTACGTATGTTTTGTCATTATTGCTGAAACTAGGACATGGTGTTAAAGCCCCTGTAAGTTAATTCARATTTTGTTAGGAGAAAGTGTCCCTTTTACAAATACTATCTTTTCAAACAATTTTAAGTTWTGAATTCTTTTCCACAGACTTTAGACATAGATGTGTGTATGTAGCTTTAGAAATTTGAACAGCTATATCGTATCTAGAAATCCTATGCATTTGAAATGTTATCAGCTTCAAAGATGAATTAAAAGTAGATTCAAGGAGTGTATTTTCTACTGAGATATGGTGTTAATGGTTTAAATAGATGCATCAATATGTTAATCTGTAGTTTTCCTAGTTAATACTGAAAAACACTAGTTAGGAAAAATGTATTTATGAATGTAATTATAGGTTTGTGAGGRACTGGTGTAGTCACTTAAGGTATTATATTATTTCATACATTTTCCTGCAGGGGAAAATGATTKAAACTATCTATACCCTTGTTGCTAAAGTGCTGGGGTGGGGAAGGTTTTCCAAGGACTCTGATGAAAAGCAGCAAAAATTTGTAAACTTCTAAAAAAAAWTTCTGATACTGCTTAGCTTCATTAGCATTGCCTAAAGAAAACTTCGGGCACAAGTCTGGTCTTTTTCTTTTCAACCTGATAGGAACTGAGTAAAAGTAATTTGWTGAAAAATATACAGGTGTTCTGTGGGTAAAATAAGTCGTTTAATATTTTATAATTTTGTTTTGTTTTGACCCAAATCATGTGGCAGAAACAAGTATTACAATTTTACTATTATTCTTATATATACTGTTTTCTGTGTATGCACTCTGAATCAGCGTAGTTTAAAAAAAAACCCAACAAAATAAAAAACCAAACAACAACAGTTTAAATAATAAAATAGCTAGTCCTTGCCTCGTGGCATTTTAAATATTTTGCATGGTCCTTCTCTCATCAAATTGAAAATGCAGCTTGTTTAAWCAARTTTGTCCCCRCASACCAGAACAGRTARTTCTGTAACAGCATGTCCTGGTGGCTGGAGCTCAGGGTTGGCCATGTGGGCCAAATGAATTCAGAATCTATTTTTGTTACTCATTTGCTGTGTGGTGTTGTTCTTAAATCTGGGGCAGCAAATATGGGCACGATCGTTGTAGTCCAAACAATGAAAGTGGCCAAGGGGTCAGAGTATAAATGGTTCTACTCCTTCCAGGTTGATAGGTTRTCACTTGGCAATTCTTAGCAATCCAAGATACTCTGAAATACTTGTATTTGTTTAATAGACAGATGGATAAGGGAGCTGAGCATCAAAACCAATTTGCACAAGACTGTAAATAGTTCTTCTTTTCTACCTCTTGTACATTTTAGTTCTCAAAATAAAGTCTTAAGTGCAAAGGGTGTGGAGAGATGTGGATGTGAAACTGCATAGCAAAAATGCCTGAGACCTATATCTAGACCCACAGAGCACATGTATGTGTGTAAAGATGTGTATGTGTGTACAAAAAAAAAGGATATGATGTGTTCAGGCTTCCTTATGTAGCTTCCTRTACATAAAGTAATATCTGTGCTTAGCCATGTAAATAATTTATGAGTATAACTTAATAATGTTCATGAATAGTTTTTCTGCTCTTTTAATTGCAATACTTGTTCCTGTGCTTCAGATGCCTCTATTCTGAACATTTTTTTCATATTATATCCTTTAAAGAGTTGTGTGAATTATATTGACATGTTWTTTTTAGTCTTTTGTGTTATTAGAGTATAAAATGTTATATCAAAACTCAAAAATTGAAATTAATAGTTCATTTTGATATAAAGGTCTCTTAAGAGTTTAAAATAGTTAAGCTGATAGAGTACTATCACTTTCTTTGAAGGAGTTAGCTTCAGAGCTTCAAGCAAAACTTGACAATGCACGCAAGTTGAGAGAGACTCAAGGAGAGATTCCMGCAAAGGCTGTCAGAGAGGTAAGTGGGAAAATACTCTTCTTTTCTTTGCACTAACACAATGGTATGATGCAGGTAGCAACTGAAATAGAGAACATCAAATATACTTAGGAAAATTAGAAAGTGTGACTTCAGGTGAGTAACTGTCGAAATGGAATTGTACCTTTTGTTAGTAAACAAAACTTTCTCGATTGTACTTTAGCAAATTCAATGGGATTTTTTTTTTACTCATAATATTGTCTCAGGAAGGRTATATGTCTTCCATTAAAAATGAAACTGATATGTGTTGGCTGCTACATCATTCTTCTGTCTCTGAAGAAGTTGGCACTTCAAATGTTATTCCTTTTGAAGGGTGGTATTTAAGAAATGTAAGAAAGCTTCTTCCATGGCAACACAGATAAAAGGAATCACGATTAATATCTTAAGCTATGAGCTCTGTCCTCATGATGGAGAGGAAACTTTTAGGCAAAAACTAATATTCTTGTTCAATATGACCCTTTTCCACAGTGAAATTCAGCGGCTAGTGAGCAGCTGACTTTTTTTTTTTTTCTAAGAAGACTTCATGTCACACCTCAGACACTGACTAGTACTTCTCCAGTCTTTAGACAACAAAATGAGCTGGAATACAATATGTGGTCTTGCTGACTACCTTGTGTCAATGGTATGAAGTCTCACTCTTTGAATTCATAACTTAAAATTACAAAAGCTCTGTGTAGGTAGACTCTGCTTCATTGCAGTGCAATTCTTTGGCATGTTTTTTGTAAATGTAAAAAAAACCTGAATAAAACAGATTGGAGTTGTGTAATTACACAGGRGAAATCCATTCAGATTTTATAACTGGGAAGTAAAAACTGTGTTGTGGTTGGTCCTCAAATGTTGGTAGACACATTAGGAACTGAATTATGAATAACAATTTTGGTCAGCCCTGATCTTAACCATAGTCTGATTTTTATCTTAAGTTTTAATTAAAGCATTTTTACGCCCAACAGTCATTGCAAAAGAGCCAAATGTAAATGTTTATGAGTGTGCCTTGCCTGTGCCTTTTTCCTGGTTTCTTCTAGCCTATATTATGTGGTGCTTGAGTGTGAGCAGTCCAGCAGAGCTGACAGTTGCTCAGTTCTAAACCCCATCTTTGTGAGGCCAGGGTAGTCTTACTGGTTTTACAGCTTCCAGCTGTGTATCAAGAGCCAGCTGTGTCACACTGTGTGTCTCAATAGCCCAGATACTCAGAAACTATCTCGTAAYACAAGAGAGGCAGATTTGTGAAGGTGTGTTTGACTCGTTATCACTTAGCCTTACTGTGGCACAGACCACCCAAACAATAGCCTCAGACACTTCAGCCAGGTGTACTGCAAGCGAGATACTTGAAGCAGTTTGCACAGAARTGTTTTTCCAAATGGATGTCCTATTGATCCCAAAGTTTGATAGCCTTGCCTCTGTTACCAATAACAAACATGAAGTGTTTTGTTTCAGGCAGGTCTGTCTCTGCCTCCACGGAGCAGCATGGCCGGTGTCGTGCTGGGAGGTTCTACAATGGGGCTTTGCCTTATTTTAATTTCTGTTGGGAGAGCTGGGCCAATAAATCAGGAAGCAGTAAAGGCAATTTTGAATGCATCTCCCTAGGAAGTTTTTTTCTTAATTAACTGGGCRTGGATCAATTTCCCAATTCTGTTCACTGTGTGACTGAGTGAAGACTTATGCAAGTATAAGAGTGTATATGAATAGCTGGGGGGTGCACAGGACAGGATCAATTCTTTTGATAGTGGTGCTGGTTTATTCAAAAGTGATCAAGAAACTGGAGACTGAAGGGACTATRAAGTGCTACTTTAAATCCTAGTTTAATTTTATATAATTTTATTTTGTCTGTAAGTGAGAATAGAGGCAAATACAGCTTTTACAGTGTGACTTAGTAACTAGTTTTGAAGTTTTTTTTACTTGGACAAGAATTCTGTCTCAAGCAATCCCAAAAATGTGGTTTTGAAGTACAGTTTTCAAAAACTGATGTTTGAAATTCAAAAGCCTTGTGTTTCTCAGCTGATACATTTCACCAAGTCTCAGCATGGTTAGAATTCCCCTGTTGTTCACTGCAGGCTGCCTTAAGTATGTAACCTTATAAATTTTAGTATGAATAAATTATTTATTAATGGAATTTGGGGTCTTAATGGGTATTGTACTTAAATACTTGAGTCATGTGTACAACTACAATAAGTGCCCATGTAGAGATCCTTTTAAAAGGGTGAATTAAAATGTAGATTGTGCTTGTTTTGTCTTTAAGTTTGAGCAGGAGGCAACTTCAGAGTCTATGGAAATCAAAAAACTTTTGATTTCATTTGAGATAGAATGAAATGATGTTTATTTTCAGATGCTTATTGTCTAATTTGTCATGGGCATTTTGAGAAAGCAAGGCTGCCCTCTGAATCCTAGTGAAACTGCAAAGAGAAGGCTGCTGTACCATAGGGTTTCTGAGTTAAGATAGGTGGTGAAAATGGCTGCTTATTGAATGTAAGGAGACAGCAGAAAGTTGTGGAGAATTCAGCATTTAGAAAATAACTTCCACATGTTCATAGTTTATCTCTTAAATACAATTTGTATTTCTGTTCTGAAAGTGCTACACAACTCTCGATTTTATTATGTTGGTTATGAGGATRTCACCTCTGCTGTTGTCAGTACCAGTCACAATTTATGTAAATTAAACTTTTATTCGGTATTTTTATTTAACAAATTCTATCAGGAACATTAGCACAATTAATTGAAACTCTTTTGAGGCACATAATTTGCAGTGGGTTTTTGTAGTACAAAAATTGGAAGGTAAAAATTTAAATGAGAAAGAGGCAGAACATAGAATATATCTTTTGGAAGGGATTTACCATGAACATCTAATCCAACAACATGGTGGTAGATGAATATAGTATAAGAGCATGGATCTTTTAAAACTATTTTCAATCCCAAATAAAGTGTGGCTTAGAAGAAAAGCTTTTCAACCATAAGCCTKTTTCTGTATTCCATAAAACTTAATTAGTATGCAGGAAACAGAAAGTAGTCTCTGCTTAGCAAATGCTAGGGACAGTTTTCAATAATGATAAATTGCATTTGAAAAACAAAATCSATACAAAATTGAATGAAAGCTAGAAGGTGGAACTTTAAGCAAAAGAACATGGTAAAGGATATATTTCACAGAGTATTTAAAAKAGAGTTCTGAAAAATAGAGGGAAACAGCTACGGGCTTTTCTGGTATGCATTTGAGAATATGTAGGGAATATATGAATTATTTCATCATAGAAAATCTTCATTTAAATAAATGAATTTTCTGTGGAAGTCCATCAGCGTTTGGTTGAGTATGAATGTTTTTCTACTGAAGAGTGCTTCTGTGAAGCCTCTTGGGCATGGAAGATATCTGTAGAGTAAGACTTGAATTTTGGCAGGCACAGCATTTCACTTTACAGTAGATATATGGCTGATATATGATGCTGCTTTAAAGGAGAAAACCTTTTCTAGGCTGCCTATTGCATCTGTAAGAATAACAATCTCCAGTCTATTGCTTGTACAGCGGAGGTGGAGAAGATTTATAGTGCAAGGAAAAGTTAATTTAGTGAGTTTTATGGCATAAGYAGGGCTTGCCTTTTAATGAAAAACTTCGTAATATGAAGAGCTTGATGTACTTCAAATGCTTCTGCTATTTTTATTTAATTATTCTTCTTGAGTATAAATAATAAGGATGATTATGTTTCTAGCACCTCCTATCTGAACACAAGTTTTGATGTATTGAARGCCTGATGTTTAATTTGGATTCCTGAGATGCATTAGACTCCAGACTGAGTGAGAATTCAGGGAAAACTAGTCAGTATAAATAATATTTTTWAAATTATTTTTKAAGAACTAACACTGTTTTTCAGAAAGGAAACTGGATAAAACAGTTTGCCTTAAATCTCAAATCCTGCTTATCTGAAGGGGGCCAACAGGGAAGCCAGAGAGGKACTCTTCGTTAGGAGCTGTAGTGATAGGACAAGGAGTAAAGGGTGCAAATTGAAAGAGGGCAAAATTARTTTAGAAGTTATAAAGAAATTTTTTACTATGAGGATGGTTGGTCACTGGAAGAGGTTGCCCATGGAGGTTGTGGGTGCCCCAGTCCTGCCAGTGTTTAAGGCCAAGTTGGACAAGGCCTTAAGCAACGTGGTCTAGTGGGAGGTGACCCTGCCCATGGCAAGGGGTTGGGACTGGATGATCTTTAAGGTCCCTTCCAAACCCTTAGCATGTTATGATTCTGTAAAATTGCATCTGTTGCATCCCATTGTAGATGGTTCTGCATTAGGAGAGACAGGATGGAACATGCTGGATCTTTATGCAGTGAAATGATTTGCAGGAGAGTTACTGTCCTGAGACAAGTAAACCACTAGGAGTAAGTAGCTGAGAGGAATCAGATGCTGAACAAACCTGAAACAATAATCTGTTCATTCCTGTAAAGATAATGGGCAAAAACAAGAATGTATGTTTATTTTTTGTGTTTTTTCAAGATTGACCTATTCACAAATAACTTTAAAATGACAGTGATTCCTTGGAAAAAGAGTTATCTACAAGTAAGGTGGTGTGTGTGCGTGTACATGTGTGTTTGTGTATATGTGTGTATACATGTAAAATTTAGATAGTRATTAGTGCTTGGGAGTAGGAAGTGAAAGAAAGAAGGAAAATAATCAGTGTTTCTGATGTGTGGAGTTTTTTATTTTAAAAGAAACCAGTGCTAAACAAACACAAAAAAGCAAAAGCCAAATCACCCTGAAAATTAACATTCAAAATTGCAGGTGTGCCAGGATGTTTAATTTTAGGTTTGGGAACTGAGAATATAAACACAGGTATTTTTCTGCAATGAAAATATTTGGTTGCCAAAATTTACCTGTAATATGTTTTCATAACATTTATTCTGACTTAACCAATTCAGAAACTAAATACAGCTGTAGTAATGCTTATAGACTTACCATATATAAAGAATCCTTTAAAAATTATTTAAAATTGCTCTGCAGAAAAGT